GAGAGAGAGAGAGAGTGAGAGTGAGAGTGAGAGAGTGAGAGTGAGAGAGTGAGAGAGAGAGAGTGAGAGAGAGAGTGAGAGAGAGAGATGGTGAGAGATGGTGAGCGTGTGTGTGGATGGGTGTGTGGATGGGTGTATGGATGGGTGTGTTGGTCGCAGACGCTCTACCGCCAAGAGGAACGGCAGTCAAGGCATTGGCCAGGCGGGAGAAGGATGAAACATGGCCTGGTTGGGGGCGCTGTCGACCAGGGGTTTGGCATCATCTGAACAAAATGCAGGGTGCACAGTGTAGTATGTACATGTACACATCTGCACGGATTAATCTGTAATCTGTACGTACTCCACGGTCTTGTATCCGTAGCACTGCTGCGATGGTGACGACAATGGTTTGTGAAGAGAGGAGCGGGGACGGTGGGTGGGTGGGTGGGTGGGGGGGTTGGTTTGCATAGACGAGTCAACAAGCTGAAACATGTGCAACTCCACCACGAACAGGCCTATCTCAGATGTCCATGGCAGCAAGAAGAAGAAGGGTTTGATGATGAGAGAATCATCCGAACATCGAGATACAGGTGGGAAGGAGAAAAGACGAAGAAAAAGAGCCACGGTCGTTAGGCCCGAATGAATGCGTACGTCTTGTGGACGGACTGTACACCGTACACCGTACAGAAGACTAGGCCCACCTTCATTTCCCGTGACAGGGAGTCTGAGGGAGAGAGGGGAGAGAGGTGTAGGTATGTATGTACACCTTCAGCCCTCTCGAAAAGAGAGAGAGATATAATATAAATTCAATAATTATTTTACTTAAAGAAAAAGAAGTACGAGTATCCATATGTAGCTGGAAGGATCCTGTTTCTTTTTTGTTCAAGGGAATACAGATATGAGCATACGTACAGATGTGAAATGAGACCAGTTCTATCAGCCTTCTCGTGCCCCCTTGCTCATGCTCGTAGTCATCATATCCTCTTCCCCTTCATCTTCCTCGTCTCTACAGACCAATACAGGACACGTTACAAAAAAAAAAAAAAGGTATGGTCTGCAGCTCACAAAACATGCACGGATATTGACGAGTAACAAAAAAAAAAGTCGTAATTGACGGGGGGAAATAACGATGATGATCAATCGGCATCTACGGATAGACTCTCCTCTCCCCCCCCCCCTCCAGATCAAGTTTTTTTTTTTTTCCTTTTCTTTCTAGTCTACTATTAAATTGCCCCGAACGTCTGGCTGGCCACCCCCCCCCCCCCCCCCCAATATCTCATGACCCCTGAGCTTCTAGAAGGAAGAAGAGTGGAAACAGAAGGAAAAGGAGGAGAAGAGCGAAAAAAAAAAGTCTGATATTGACAGGGCCGGGCCGCGGTTGTTGTCGTCATTCGATTATGATTATTTTTCGTTTTAATTTCGACACTAGGAGTCTAGTCATCTGTACAGGTACGGAGTACGGTGTACGAGTGATAATACCTGGAAAGAGAAGATGAATGAATCTTGACCGAGTTGCTGGTGGTATTGGTTGCTGTTACTACGAGTACGGGTACGCATACACATACACATACACATACACATACATACATATATATGTATCCTGTGGTCTAACGTATGAATGTATATACATATATATACATACATATATTATATATATATATATGTGTGTGTGTGTGTGTGCGTGTATGTGTGAGTGCTCGTACATATATGTAGTATTTCACATCGGACTACGTGTAATCAACCCAGCGACAGCCGTGGGTTCTCAACGGAAACTCGACTCGTTTCCATTCTCTCCTCAAAAAGAGTGTCATTACCAGATAACCAACACCTGAGTACTCGTAGAATCATCGACGAGAAAAAGTTTCTTCAGAATTTTTTTCTAAAAAAAAAAAACAAGACAAAACAGACAGACAGAATACGAGATGAGTAAGACGCTGTATTACTACAAGTACAAGAATCACTCGAGATATTACTATTACTAGATGCTGCATCACCCCTCCTCTCCTTCAAGTATCGCTACTCCGGGGTACCCTGGAGGCCACTTCCTGGCTGACCGCCAAATGTACACGTGATGGTGTAACGGGCAGAATAGCCACCACCAGTCCTGTACTCACGACATGTCCTCACCACCATTTCTCCCCGAGAGAATCGCTCGGAAGAGTAGGAAATCATGTATCTGTACCTCTCATATCCTACTGCAGGGGATTATGAGCAGGGGCCAGATTGGGGGCGGATACGTAGTGTATGTGCTAATATCTCCTAGCCAACCGTACCTCTTCTGTACCTGTACCTCGTCGTACCTCGTCGTACCTGCCCTATCTCACTCTTTCCCTCTTTCGCTCCTTTTCGCTCTTTCCCTCCTCACACACACACACAATCCACCTCACCCTTCCTTCTTCCCCTCTCTCTGTTCCGTACTCTGTACCCTCTTCATTCTTTCCTCTTCTCTCCCATAACCATCTGCCTCACGAAAGGTACACGGCGTTTAAAAAAAATGTACACGATGTGACCGTCCAGGTGTCCAGATGGTGAGGGGAGTGAGTATACGGTGAGGTCAAATTTTCGTTTCTTCTTCTTCTCTTCCATCCCAAGTCAAGCTGCAGAGAAACGACATGATACTTACATGTACTAATAAAAGATTGATCAGGTTGGAACCATTAGACCGTCTGTCCCGCCATGGGTCGGTGTCGTGTTGCCCCGCCCCGGCTCCTCTCTCGTCAATTTACGAGTACGTCGTGATACTCCCGTAAAAAAAAAAAAACACAAGTTACTCGTACTCTGTACCTCTCTCTCTCTCTCTCTCTCTCTCATCAACCGAGACTCATCAGAAGAGAAAACTTACTTGTACTTCAACAGCGAGCAATGGGTTGCTCGTCCCCACCCCCATGGCGGATATCCCTGACGCTGGCAGGCCACAAGATCCCTGATATCTGCTGCTAAATCCTTGTCCTGTCCTTCCAGAAGTCTTCTATTATGACCCGCTTGTTACTTTTTTTCTTTCTTCTTCTGTCCGTCCAGTACGCAGTTGCGGAGGAACAAGTTCTCTCTCTCTCTCTCTTCCCTTTATAATTGCAGAGTGGTCAATACTGCGTATTACTACTGCCTATTCTGTGACCCTCATGCACCCTACCACATCCATCCACACCACCCACACCCACACCCACACCTACACCCACACCCACGCCCACACACCCTCCTCCTCCTTCCTCTCCTCTCTCTTTCTTGTACAGATTACAGACTTAATACCACCACTCCACCCATCTCAATCTTTGCTTTTTCTTTCTTTCTTTCTCTTCCCTCTCCTCTCTCCCTCCATATCCCAACGGGTCCATAATCTGTCACTCTTTCAGCATCCTTATTCACGCCCTTTGACGACGACCGACGAACGACCTATAACCATTCTTTCTCAACTCTCACTTCCATTCATCCTACCAACTCTCTCGACGTATAGCTCACTCGCAGGTTCGGTGAGCGGAATTGGAGGCCAAGAAGAAGATTAGAAGAAGACAAGATAAAAAAAAAGGAGTCTCAGAAAAAGAAAGCGAGAAGGGAAAACGCCAGCAGAAATAATATTCAATCTCTGCCAACCATATCGTGACGACGACGCGCCTCAGACGAACAGAGTACCCCCAGTGGCTTTTTGGGTCACCTCAACGACCAGCAAACCAAGTTCACACTCTTCGGATCTTCTTACTGTCTTTTTTTTTTCTTTTTTTTTTACTACATTTTCCTCCGGTGTCATCTCCCTCTCGCTCTCTTACTTCTCTTACTTCTTAATATTGGTGGTATCATCGCTCGTACTTGCCGTACTTTTTTTCCCCTCCTTTTCTTCTTTCCCCTGCCTATCTCTCTACTCCTTGCGCCCAACTGCCGTCGCTCAAGGCTTGCAGGCATGTTCACCATCAGGCCTCCGTCCGACGACAATGTCATTCAGCCTCTGGGGGATGACGATCAGCGTATCCTCGTTGGTCTCACTCACAAATATGGGGTTTCAAGTCTCATGTGCGCTTTGAGTGCACTGGGAGGGTCGTGTAAGTGTTGCAGAAAAAAAAGGCGAGACATGGATTTGAAAGCAGGAGGAGGGGGAACTAGAAGAAGAAGAAGAAGACGTCGAGAAGAAGTTTTTTTTATAAAAAAAAAACTAGTGAGGGAAGGAAGGAATCATGACAACAACAAAAAAAAGAAAAAAAAAAACTAAAAACTGACACGATCGAATACAGCTCGCGCCTCCACAATATCGGCCACTACTCTGCTCAGCAGCACCAGCGCCCCCTCACTCGTCTGGACCGCCTCCGACGCCGCCTCCATCCGCACTCAGTCCACCCGCGAAGGTCCCCTGGTATCCATCGCCGACACCAGCTCCCTTTCTGATACCGACTTCCCCGCCGTCAAGCTGCCCTCGGACGTAGCATGGCTCGAGTCGCCGGCCACCATCCAGTCCCCCCCCGTCCAGACCCAGACCCCGGTCGGCAACGCCACGGCCGCATCACCTCGCCTGGCCATCCCCACGCTGAAGAAGTATCAGTGCCCCATGTGCTTCTTGGACCGCAACCTGGTCGAGTTCGGCCGCAAGAGCGACTTCAAGAAGCATCTCAACAACTTCCACGGCACCGACGTCACCTGGATCTGCCGCACAAAGGGCTGCCACCTCTCCTTCGCCACGGAGCGCGCCTACAGCACCCACGCCAAGGAGGCTCACAAGATGGACGCCCTGCCCAGCAGCGCCGCCCGCACCGAGCTGTGCCCGCAGCTCGTCTTCTCCTGCGGCTTCGCCAGCTGCAAGGACCGCGTCTTCGAGGCCGCCGCGCGTGAAGACGCCGCCGCCAGCCGCGACAAGTACTTTGAGCACATCGCCAAGCACTTCGAGGACGACTTTGATGTCAACGACTGGGAGTACCGCGTGCAGATCCAGAACCTCATGCGCCAGTCGCGTGTCAAGCACACCTGGAAGACGGGCATATGGCCCAAGGAGCGACGCCAGCAGCTGTCATGGAAGCCTCGTTCGTCGGGAGACCTCCGTCGCATGCTCGAGGCCCGCCACCTCGGCGACGACATCTCCCAGCTTGTCCGCCTGGCCTTCATCCTCGGCACCGCCCCCTTCACCTCGTCTCGCACCCCGCCCCCGAGCGAGATTGACCAGCACTTCCAGCTGCCCTTCCGCAGCCAGTGCCTCCTCGAGACGGCCGAGCCGCCCGCCAGCAGCACCGCCGGCGACGACGGTCCGCCGGCGACGTCGTCGTCGTCCGCCTCATCCATCATTGGCAGTGCCACCAAGTCGCGGCCGCAATCCATGTTCCGCCTGTCGGGCCGCCGCGTCAAGCCCGGTCGCAACGCCCGCCCGTCGACACCCGCCAGCACCATGTCTGGCCCGCCTCCCACGTCGACACCTTCCGCCTCCTTCCTGAGCTCGGCGGCGTCGACGTCGTCGGCTCCCGCCGCTACCATCGGCGCCGGCGCCGACACGTTCATGTCCGGTGAAGCCGACGCCAGCTCTGGCCCCCACCCGGGGACACCCATCGTCATACCCGGCGAGAGGAGCCTGCCCGCCGACGCCCCCGAGTTCATCCCTCCCGAGGGCGTCACCAGCATGCTGCCGAAGCAGGAGCCGCAGCATCAGCACATCCAAGCCAGCACACCGCTGACCATTGATACGCCCCTGAGCATGACGTCGGTTCCCGATTCGCCGGCCATGTACGCCATGACGCCCCTGAGCGGCAACGGCAGCCATCAGCACCAGCACCAGCACCAGCAACATCACCACCACCACCATCTTGACGAGCCGCACAATGTCTACTCCATGTACGGGTCTGCTCCGCCGACGTCTGTGCCCGACGATGTGCCCATGTCACCCTACGACCAGCCGATGAGCCAGGTCGAGAGCGACCACCACGCGGCGGTCGAATACGGCGAGATGATGTATGGATGCACGCCGGCGAGCAACGCCTCCGCCTCGACGATACGACCGGCGACGCCGGTGCCACACAAGCGACCAGTCTCCTGGAGCCGGGTAGGCAGCATGGACGACATGCGTTCGGTGCGGAGGTCCTCGGCGTCGATGGGCAGCGCATACGGTAACGACTCTCCCATGTCAGTGGGCCACACGGACGTCGGAGTTGGCGGCATCCCCTCTCACGGGATGGCGGGGATGGTGCCCGTGTCGATGGACCAGATCCCCAACGCGTACGGCGAGATGATTCCCCCTCACCCGTCGGCCTACCACTACCAGCACCACCACCACCACCACCACCAACAGCAACAGCAACAGCAGCACCAGCACCAGCAGGCACCGACGTCGATGCCAGCAGGTACAGAGTGGGGCGTACCGATGAGGATGGGCCAGGAGCCGCAGGTCGGTTACCATGCTCAGCAGCAGCAGCAGCAGCAGCAGCACTACCAAGAGGGACCTGACATGTCATCCATGACGACGTTCTTCTTTGACGACGAAGGGAGGTTGTAATACTGTAATACTGTTGCGGTGTTGACGATGCATCCTCTCCATCGATACCCCCCCCCTTCCCCCCCAACATCAGACATGTCTCTTTACTCTTTTTAATATTTTTTCTTATATTCTTATCATTAATTCCTGGTATATGTATAATAATTTGACCATGACAAGACGAGCATACAGCAAGCGAGGCTTGTCGGTTTTTCTTTTTTTTCTTCTTTTCCTTTCTTGGTTTGGTTTTGGGGTTATTCGTTTCTTTTATAATCTTCTCGACGTCAATTGTCAATTCCTTGTCAGCAAAGTCTTGTCCTTTTCCTTTTTTTTCTCTCCCCCCCCCCCNGGGGGGGGGTGCGTGGTTTGCGTTTGCGTGTATGTAGGAAATTTCAAGCTGCTGTCGTCCAAGGCGCAAGAAAGACAGTTGACACACTCAATGACCACTGACAAGGAGCTCCGTCAACGTTCGATCACGGACGGCAGGGGAACACTCGTATATCACAGGTGTGACTATATCCGATAGGAGCGAACAAAGAAATGAAGAAGAAAGAATTAATTTTCAAAGCCCCCCCCCCCCCCCTTCTCTTTCTTTTTTTCTTGTCGTGCTCTCTTCTTCTCATCGGCTTCTTTATATCGTACAGCCCCCATTCTCATCTCCTTTTCCAAGATACCAACCCCCCCTTTCTATTTACTCTCTCTCTCTCTCTCTTTTATCCTATCCTCTTCTCTGCTCCGACAAGAAGGGATTTTATCTATATCCTATTTTCCTTACATATCCCCCCTCCCCTCTTCTGGTCATATCCCCTCCCCACTTTCCTTTTGAAAGCTGGTTTTATCCCCCCCGTATCATGATGGGCTTTGGTTGGTGGGCAAACATGGCAGTATAGATGGCGTGTGTTTTTTTTTTTTTTACTTGTTTCTCCATGACTTGAAAACAATTTACTTGATTCCACTTACTCTAGAGATGTTTGTGTGAGAATGATTGGATATGGTCTCGCTCACCTAGCTGTACGACTTTTCATGTACATGGCATCATACGATGGTCTTTAATACTTGATTTGATAACCACGTCATGTCTAGGCGGTGAAGGATCCATGTCCGCGCCTGATAACGAGCGGGACCGGATGTGTCTATGACGGGCGAAGCGAGAAGGACCCCCCCCCCCACGGTAGGGCCGCCGGAGGCACGTACAGAATAATGTGTACTATATAATATATTTTCAACGTGTTTTGGAATCAGAGTCAAGAGTAGAGGCACAGAGCAGGGGCAGACCTGTTTTAGTATTATTGCGGCTCGGGACAATTGCCAGGGAGTTGGGAATTTGGACCAGAGACGATAGCGTGGGAAGTGGAGGTGTGTGATGTGGGGAGGGGAGAAGAAAAAAGAGGCGGGTGACGGTTGCTATCGGGAGAATGTCGGGTTGGTCTAGTAGAGGTGGTGGTGGTATGACAAGTGAAGGAGAGAGACTACGAGTAGAGACTAGAGGAGAGAATAGAGCAGAGAGATGAGAGGAGAGGAAGGATAGATGAGGGTAAATGATGCAGAGAGAGGAGGAGGGGGGGAGAGAGTGACAAGAGTCAAGAGTCAGAGGCGAAATCGGCGGTTGAAAAGAGTCACGTGGGAGTCATAGAGAGCCGAAGAGGGACGGAGTAGAAGATGATCCGAGATGAGTGGGGCAAAAGTAGGAGCGACAACGGCGGTAGCCTTCTTGGCCTCCTCTGGACTTGGGAATTTTTCCCCACAACGTGGCTCAGTGGGACAGTTGCTGATTCGTCCCTGACAATCTAATTTTGCCCCTCCCCGACGAGAAGGGTAAGGGGAAAAAAAAAAGTAGAGATTTTCTTCTTCTCTTTGCTTTTCTCTATCGTGGTTCTTTTTTTCTATTTTCTTCTTCTTTTTTTTTTTTAATATCTTTTCTTTTTCTTTTTTTTTCTCCCCCAGTGGTCGGTCGAATCTTTTATTTCTGTTTTGTCATAACTACACATCTATCTTCCTCGCAAACCCCGGTCACCCTTCAACCCCCCATCCTCCACCCTCCACATTGAATTGAGTGGGTGTCTTTCCTGCCTCAATTTTTTTTCTTCTTTCCTTTCCTCCTTCTCATTTCTCTTCTTCATCACAAGACATATACAACACACCGCCCGGGAAAGGGATCCGCTTGGAAGGAGAGAAGATTTTCTCGGGAGAGAAGAAGATTGATTGGGAAGAACAGAAGATTGCTTGGAATTGGAAGAAGAAAAAAAGAGACCGAAAACAAGATGCTCCGAAGCCGTCATGCCTCGAGGGCCATCAGGTCCTTGAGTGGTCAGACGAGGAGGGCCTTCACTACCACCAAGGCTGTTGCTGCCATTGAACCGCCTAGGAAGACGCCTGCTTCTTCGAGGAGCCAGACTACTACAGCTGCGTCGTGAGTCTAGTTTTCCGTCTGTCTGATTCTTTCGAGTGCTGCCCGAAGGTGTGGCTGACCGTCTTCTTTCCTCCGCCGATGACAAGACACATCCGCGATGCCCCTAGCCCGGCCTTCAACACCTCGGTCACCAATACCAAGGATCAGAGCCATGTTCAGCCCCTCCAGTCGCGCGAGCCTGAGATGGACGAGTCGTACGTTGCCGACGAGGACGAAGAGGTGGATGGTACGTCGGGAACAAGAGGAACGGAAGAAGCTGACATGGCGTGTCTAGATTCATCGGCAAGACCGGTGGAGAGATCTTTCACGAGATGATGCTGCGTCAGGGTGTCAAGCACGTGTGTGAGTTACTGCCGCCCCTTGGTCTGGGTTACCATGACTTTTTTTTTTTTTTGCGCAATGTCGAAGAGATGCTGCGAAGATCTGCCCCTCCAACTCTGAGATGGTATGCTGATGAATAACACATCTTCTGTCCACGTCCAGTCGGCTACCCTGGTGGTGCCATCCTCCCCGTCTTCGACGCCATCTACAACTCAAAACACTTCGAGTTCGTCCTGCCCCGTCACGAGCAGGGCGCCGGCCACATGGCTGAGGGATACGCGCGCGCGTCCGGCAAGCCGGGAGTGGTGCTGGTGACGTCGGGCCCGGGAGCGACCAACGTGGTGACGCCGATGCAGGACGCCCTCTCGGACGGCGTGCCGCTCGTCGTCTTCTGCGGCCAGGTGGTGACGTCGGCCATCGGCAGCGACGCCTTCCAGGAGGCCGACATGACGGGCATCTCGCGCGCCTGCACCAAGTGGAACGTCATGGTCAAGAGCGTGTCGGAGCTGCCGCGCCGCATCAACGAGGCCTTTGAGATCGCCACGTCGGGCCGCCCGGGACCGGTGCTGGTCGACCTGCCCAAGGACGTCACGGCCGGCATCCTCCGCCGCGCCATCCCGACGGCGACCAGCCTGCCGAGCCTGCCGAGCGCCGCCACCCGCGCGGCCGTCGAGCTCAACAGGAGGCACCTGCAGGCGTCGCTGAAGCGCGTCGGCCAGCTGATCAACAAGGCCAAGCAGCCCGTCATCTACGCCGGCCACGGCTGCGTCGTCTCCCCCGGCGGACCGGAGCTCCTGCGCGAGCTGGCCGACAAGGCGTCCATACCGGTGACGACGACGCTGCACGGCCTCGGCGCCTTCGACGAGCTCGACGACAAGTCCCTGCACATGCTGGGCATGCACGGCTCGGCCTACGCCAACATGGCCATGCAGGAGGCCGACCTGATCATCGCCCTGGGCGCGCGCTTCGACGACCGCGTGACGCTGAGCGTGCCCAAGTTCGCGCCCGGGGCCAGGGCGGCGGCGGCCGAGGGCCGCGGCGGCATCGTCCACTTCGAGATCATGCCGAAGAACATCAACAAGGTGGTGGAGGCGACCGAGGCGGTCGAGGGCGACGTGGCGACGAACCTGCGCGGGCTGATGCCGCACGTCGAGGCGCGCACGGTGGCGTCGCGGCCGGAGTGGTTCGGCAAGATCGGCGAGTGGAAGCGCCGGTGGCCGCTGTCGCACTACGAGCGGGCGGAGCGCACCGGGCTGATCAAGCCGCAGACGCTGATCGAGGAGCTGAGCGAGCTGACGGCGGACCGCAAGGACAGGACCTACATCACGACGGGCGTGGGCCAGCACCAGATGTGGACGGCGCAGCACTTTCGGTGGCGCCACCCCCGCACGGCCATCACGTCGGGCGGGCTGGGCACCATGGGCTTCGGGCTCCCGGCCGCCATAGGCGTGCAGGTGGCCCGGCCGGAGGCGCTGGTGATCGACATCGACGGCGACGCGTCGTTCAACATGACGCTCACCGAGCTGGCGACGGCGTCGCAGCACAACATACCGGTCAAGGTCATCGTCCTCAACAACGAGGAGCTCGGCATGGTGACGCAGTGGCAGAACCTCTTCTACGAGGACCGCTACGCCCACACGCACCAGACGAACCCGGACTTCCTGAAGCTGGCCGAGTCGATGCGCGTCCAGAGCAGGCGCGTCGTCAAGCCCGAGGAGACCAGGGAGGCCCTGCAGTGGCTGATCGACTCGGAGGGTCCGGCCCTGCTCGAGGTCGTGACTGACAAGAAGGTTCCCGTCCTTCCCATGGTACCTGCTGGTTCCGGACTTGATGAATTTCTGGTCTACGACGGAGGTATGTTTTTCTTCTTTTTTTTCTCCCCCCCCTTCCTCCTCTCTTCTTCTTCTTCTCCAACCATCTATGCAGTTGCTGACAGACAAACAGAGCAGGATAAGAAGCGCCGAGAACTCATGGTGGAGAGGACATCTGGTCTTCACGGGAATTAAACATCAGTCAACAACACTATGAGGATATATATATATATATGTGTGTGTGTGTATATATGTATATATATACATATTGGTCATTGCTGCCGTCATCCTTCTCGTCTCTCCCTCCTTTCTTTCCAGGAGAAGAAGGGGGAGAGGAAGGAAGAAGGAGAAGGGGGGAAGAGGAGAGGAGAAAAAAAAAGGAAGAGAGGAGAGAGAGGATGGTTGGAAAAAAAAAAGCTTCGCATTGACCATTTATATCGTACCATGCTAGTGTAATTAATCTTTTCCATTTTTTTTCCATTCTTCTCTATGAACTTGTGGCGTCCCCCCCCCCCCCCTCGTTTCTCTCTCATCATTCCAAGGATTTTCGACATGTATCTCTCTTGCATCATCATCGTGAAGGTTGTGAAGTATCGAGAGAGTGAGCACGACAGCTGATCGGTACTCAAGGCGAGCGAAGCGAGTACAAGTCCCGGTAGGGCCGCGGGAGGCGTAATGACGGATCTGGAGATGATGAGCTGTAATCTGTACCTCGCAATCAAGATTTGAGGATACGATGGTATCGAGAGAAGCGAGGAGAAGCCGCCGGTAGGCCGCCGGTAGGGACGCGGGAGGCAACGTGAGACGGTAATAACCCGACGTAGGTGGATGGATGATGGTATCACAACTGATATAAAAGGTGGTTGTGTGCAGAGATGGTACGATGGATTAGATGACGAGTCAGTTTTGAGGGTTACGGAGCGGCCGTGCATGTACAGGTACGAGATGCTATGGAGCAGCACCATCTATGATGGATCTATCGAACTATCAGGGGTGAGGGAGAGTTGAGGGAGAGCTGAGGGAGAGCTGAGGGAGAGCTGAGGGAGAGTGAGTACGGATAGACGGGAGCGTAGCAAGGAGTGGGCAGTGATAGACGGTAAGGAACAGAGATGTAGGAGTAGGGAATAGAAGTAGTAATCAGTATCATCATGCAAGATGTACTATGAATAGACATGATTGTGGTAAAAATACTAGTAAAGATACTAGTAATAATCAAAGAACAAGAAGCAAGGAGTCGACTACGTATAAGAGGTTGGGAAGTGGCTGGATAAGAGAGATTTATTAATCAACGGATCAGACAGAGGAACCGATCCCTTAGCAGAGAAACAGAAAAAAAAAAAGAAAAAGAGGGAAAAAAAAGGCAAGGGAACAAAGAGAAGAGAGAGGATGCAAGGATTACGGTACGACGGGCGTATACGAGCTGCAGGACATTGCGTGTAAAAGAGCGTGGCTGGGACCCAACCACCAAGAATTCCCAGAGAAGAAAAAAGAGCAGCTTGGTTCTCCTACACCTTTTCGTCTCCCGATTTCCCATCTCTTGTCAGAGTTCCCATCTTGGGATTTCCAACATTCCAGGAAGCTCCCCCTTATTTTTCCCCCATAGCATTTTCTGCAGCATTTTCCCCCTCGATTGAAGTGCACCTCTCTCTCTCTCCCTCGCACACACACACACACACACACACACTCTCTCTCTCTCTATATATATATATAGATATATACATATTCTCCTTCTCATCATGGCCTCTGCGGCTGTCCAATCCCCCAATCGAGGGGACGACCCCGACGCCGCCGCCCGAGCGGTGCGCGAGGCCAAGAAGGCGTTCCGCGCCCAGAAGGCGACGCACGTCTCATCGTCGACGGTCACGCGCGGACGCGACGACGGAGACGACTCTTACCTCAGCATGGAGGAGTCCGACCTAGGAACGAACGACTACCTCGGCGGCAGGGGGGGCAGTCCCGGATCGCGCAGCCCGTCTCGACCGTCCACGGCGGCCCGGAGCGGCGCTGCGCACGGGTACTCTCCCTCTTCCGGCCAGGCCCGACCGTCCTCGTACGCGGCCGACGACGACCGACGCTTCTCCAGCTCCGGTGCCAACGGCGGCACCAGCTCTCGATACAGGAGGGGACAGACGACGTCGGGCAGCGGCGGCGGCGGCGGCGGCGGCGGCGGTGGCAGCAGCGGCGGCGGCGCGCACCCTCCCTTCTCTGCATCCTCCGGGCCGTGGGCGGGCAAGGCGGCGGCCGGGACGGCAGCATCCTCGTCGCGCGACAAGGCGCACAGGAGCAGCCGCGCCGCACCGCCGCCGGCGACGGGACCTTCGACCATCACCGAGGCCAGCGCGAGCACGAGCAGTCCCCGACCTAGGCACCACCGGGCCCCGGCGCCGCCCGAGACCTTCGTGCCGCCCTCCGACCTGGTCAGCCGCCTGGAGAGCCCGTCCATCCAGAAGTCGGTGCTGAACCCGCTCGAGCGCAAGATAGCGGAGTATCAGCGCCTGATGGACGAGGCGCAGGGTCAGATGTCCCAGATGGACGACGAGCTGCGGGCCCTCCAGCAGCGCAGGCTCGACGCCCAGGACCGCTACCTCGAGGCCAAGAGCAAGCACGACGACTACGAGAGGCAGCACCAGCACGTCAAGGCCGCCCTGAGCGGGGAGCTGGGCCCCACCGCCGCCGCCGCCGCCGCCGCCTCGACCTCGCAGGCGGCCGGCGGTGTCGGGATGGCCGCCTCGTCCGCTCACTTCCAGGATCACCGCGGTCCCCCCCCGCCGCAGTCGGCTGCCGGCCCTGCCGCCAGGAGGTTGCGCCATGAAGACGACGACTACGACGACGACGACGACGACTACGCCAGGAGGCCTCTGAGCCATCAGAGCCGTGCCAGCTTCAGGAGCGGGAAGAGGACGGGTACCATGGACAGGATCCGGAAGAGTCTATTTGGGAGCTTCTAGGAACCGTCCAGCCTTGTGCTCTCGTCCTCGTCTCTCCCTCTTCTTCTTCTTCTCTTCTCTTCATCCTGTCTTTTCTTTTTCTTTCTCTTCTTTCTATACATTTCTTTATTCTGAGGAGAGGGCGTGGCTGTCTAGAGGGAAAAAGGGGTATCATGTGTTCTGGAAAAGGTATGTATAGTGATACCTGGTTACGAATTAAACGTCACGTCTTTTTTTTTCTTCCTTTTCCATTTTGTTTCTCTTGTTTTTTCTGTCCCATCTTGGCTGGACTTTTCTTTTCCTCTCTTTTTTTGTCCTTGTCGGATATGGCAGATTTCCTTTGTTGTCAAGGGTTTGATCTCCGTCATTCTTCTGTGCTTCGATACAGACATTCTTCTGGGAGATTCGACGCATACAATACACTATTATCGCACATGGAACAGACTGGAAGATGAACAGAAAACCGTGAACCATACAACAGATACAGAAACATACCGCAAGCCTTCCATCTACTCGGTACCCGCCCCGGCAGGACAGTGCCCAGCCCTGCATCCCTCACACCTATCCGCCTGATGAGGCCCCCCCGTCCTCCGCCCATACCTCCTCCCCTCCCCGCCGCCCTCCATCCTCACTCCGCACCACTTCTTGAGCCGGTACGCGAGCCTGTCGACGTACGAGCCGTCGTCGAGGACCAGGGCGGCCACCTTGTCGCAGCTGCTGCACCGCTGGTGGAAGACCTTGGCATTGTACCGTCGACCCGGGTACATGCGGATCCGGACGGCCACTCGCCGGCTGCCCCAGCCACCCTGCGTGCACCGGTCGTTGCGGCACCGGAAGGAACCCATGACGTTTGTGTCGTAGCTGAAGATGTGGCCTGACTCGTCGTCTCGGTCGTAGAAGGAGACGCCCAGGTCGTTGGGTTGCGTGGCCGAGACGACGTCGTCGTGGAGGGAGGGGTACATGGACCATGATTTCTGCTTCTTGTTTCTCCTCTTATTCTGTGCCATCCTTCTTCTTTTCTCAGTCCTCTGAGATCCTTGATTCTGTCTTCTTCTTCTTCCTCCTCCTCCCCCGCTTCTTCTTCTTCTTCGTTTGAAACTTGAAGCTTTGAACTGTTTGAAAATCGGAATCTTGAATGGCTGATTTACACACGACTGCATGATCCTTAGAAGGAAAAATGCCATGATATATAGCTATATGCATACTGTCACCTCCCTCCCACTTCCATCGACGTCGCGCATATTCCCGTCTGCATCAGCTGCATGTTCCCCCATGATTCGTCCTCGTCATTCTGGGTTTCCTCCATCAAGATACATGTACATACAGGATGCAGCCGGACTGACAACATTCCGGGATCGTAGCCGTGGTAGCGCGAGCCTCGTTTGGGCCGACATGCAGAACCGGAAACTGCTCAGGTCTTTCCTTGGTACCCTCCTCCCCTCCCCTCCCCTCCCCTCCCCTCCCCTCCGGTTATCTCTAACACGTTCCTCTCAACACGTTCCTCTCGACCCGATCCTCCTCCTTTCTGTCTCCCTTCTTTCGGAACTGACCTGGTGGGTCCCGCAACTGGCTGTCCGGGGTCCCCCCTCCGTGTGGGGTCTCGATTTCGGTGAAGACGGGGCGGGTCGTGACGGGATGAGGAGGTGATATCAACTATTACCACTTCTAGTATATGTCGAGTATATATCGAGCATCAGCGCTATATTTCCTCACTGACCATCACCGCATCTGCACCTATGCAGAAAGTCCGAACTGTCATGTTTGCCAACTCTTCATCCTCGTCTCTACGTCGCAGAAGCGGGGAACTGCCAAAAGCTTCAATCTTCCCAACTTCATGTTCAACTTGGCATGGCTGGAATGGAGTATGCGATGAAGTATTCACCACAGGACACGTTTCCCCGCATCATCTCCCTCTTCCTATATCTTCCCGGAACTCGAATCATCTGGTCCCTCACGCGCAATGCCATTCGTAGATGATGATGCAGTCCCCCTCCTCCATGGCCAGTGCAGGAGGCACGGCAGAGGACGGCACCCTTGACAGGAAAAGTCGTAAGACCTGTCGGTGGCTTATGCTGCAGCGAATGTCTGGTTGGTCGGTTGGTCGGTCGGTTGGCTGGTTGGTCGGTCTCTTCTATGGACAGACCTCATACGGCTGTGACCATGAATGTTGCGTTGGGGGGGGGGGGGGGGGGGGGGGGGGGGGCGCGATCGAACCCCGCTTTCATAAGATGGTCTCTTTCTCGACTTCACGCTCCCATGACTTAGATGAACTGTGACTTCGATAAGACGTGTGAACGCCAAGGCGAAGAAGACTCTCTCAGACAGGGAAACCGAGGAGACATACTCGAGAGGCTGAACCGCGGAAAAGAAGAGAGAGATGAGGAAGGATGATGTCCGTCCCCATCCAAGCCTTGACGTCTGCCCGTCACGGGAGCGGCGTCTACAGCAGCTTCAACTCGGCAGCCCCCCTCCGTCCCGGAGACGTCGACACCCTGATTGGGCGCAGGCTGACTCCCACGCCGGCCCACCTCGACCGCGTCCTGTACGTGCCTTACCACTCGCACACGACGGCTCATCTGCCCCTGTACGATATCACGGACGAGTACAGGGCCACCGTCGGCGACTCTCCAGTTGGGGGGTCGGAATTCAAGCTGAGGCTCTGCGTGATGAGGAAGCCGGCATGGAACACCTTTGACGCCCGGGTTGCCTTTCACGTTGATGTCGAAGCTGATGGGTCGTTGCTGGCTGTCGAGGAGAGATGTCTCGGTATAGGCCACAAGGTACATGTGTATGCTTTCCTTTTCCTTCTTTCCTTCTTTCCCTGTCTCCCTTCGCCCCCCTCTTCTTCTTCTTCTTCTTCTTCTCCTTCTTCTCCTCTTGATAAGACCGTACATTGGCAAGAGATCTGACCCCTCCCACTAGACGGCTACCATCTCACCCTGCTGACGAGACTACCATACAAGCCACGACGCCGGATGGCAAGGATGAGCGCCAGTACTCCGTCCAGGTCACCTGCCCCGTCCCGGGGAGGCAGAGGGGCAGAGTCACGATTCAGTACCCGTATTTCACCCTGACGCGGAGCGATGCCGGCCCCGCCAGCGTGGCCGCCCCGCTCCAGTGGCAGGCGTACCCGATCGAGAAGGGCGCGCTGTGCTACCTGCTCGTCGACACGAGGCTGCACGCCGCGGCCGGCCAGGAGACTCCCGCCGACGAGGCCGTGCGCGCCATCTACCACCACGCCGGCATGGAGGACGAGCTGCCCACCCGGTACAGCGAGGGCGTGCTCCTGCTGCCCCGTGGCCAGGGCGGGGCGCTGGACACCCTTGTGACGTCTAGTCTGCTCGGCCTCCTGAGGTATGACAGATCTTTTGCGAGGGTCGCCGGGAGGAGGCAGTCTGCTGGACGGTCCAAGCTGAGCAAGGTCATCCGTAGGGTTCTCGGGGATGGGGTGCGGACATGATGCTTCACCAGTCTTTTACGTGGTCTGTCTTTTGACATGGTCTCTGATGTGGTCTTGTTCCTGAGCACTTACTTAGAAACCTCTATACGAGAACCACACCCCTATCCTCCCCGCTCCCTCCGGTCTCGGTCTGCTTACTTCGAGTGGTGGTCCGATGGCAAAAGGATGGAGAATGCCCCCGTTCGGTTATGAGTTGGGAAGCTAGTTGGCAGTGCACGTTTTATATACATCAACATGCTTGATTATATCCGTATTTACAATTATCCATTACATCGTGAAGCCATTCCAAGACCTCGGTATTCTCCTCCAACGTCGTCACCACCCTGGGCTCGGTGCCGGAAGGGTTGAACGCTGACGGTGCTGGACCCGAGACGGCAGCATCGCGTCGTCGCGTCGTGAACCGTAGCAGCGGACTCTCTCAACTCAAACATGTACCACGGGGTGTACTCCAGACATCCATCCGATGTCGAGATGGAGAGAACGAGACCTATCATGGCTCCAGGGATATGAGGAGGAGGAGATAGGAAATGCATGACGGCGTGCGCATCCTTATATAGGATGGGCCTGGCATCAGCATTTGCCGGCACACACTGGCGAGGTTCCATCCGTCTGGGCCGGGGAGCGGTAAGTCTCATGTGCTGTCGTCGATCTGGATCCGGGTAACGATCCAGAGTTTCCGGTCGGCCGCGGGCAGTTGGTATTCGGTGACACTGGTTGCAGCGGATGACTCTTCTTCATCATCGTCGGTCTTGATCACCAAGTTCCTGGCCTGTGGAGTTTTGCGGAGTGGGGGGGGGCGAAGTCAGTCGAAGGGTCGATTTGTCCTTGCTTCTTGTTTCTTGTTTTTTTTTTCTCTTGCGCAGTCATTTGTCGTCTGCATCTTTGTGAGGAGTATCTACCTTTCTGACGATGGCCCGGGTAGCCGTCACTGTCAGGACGAGCAGCGAACTGATGGCGAAGAGGGCAGCGAAGAGGACAAAGGCGGGACTCCCGGATGTTTCCAGCCAGTCGAACCATGAGCTGTGGTGGTGGGTATGGACGGCACCCTGGACGCCGACGGTGCCGTCGCCGCTGGTCGAGGGGGGGACGGTGGTGGAGGTGGAGGAAACGGTGGTCCAGAAGATGGGAAGGATATTGGTGCCTGCCAGGGTGGTGGAGGGGTGCTTGAGGGCGTCGGCGATGTAGTGAGGGGCGTTGCGGACGGCGCCGAGCAGCGAGGCGTCCTTGTCGACGGAGTGGACGGGGGCGGCGGTGACGGTCGTCGCCAGAAGGCAGACCAGGGCGGTCGTGACGGACTGAGTCGACGTCTTCATCGTGCAGTAATATCTGCGTGGCGAGGGAGTGTCGAGATAGCCGGCGAGAGGAATATTCTCGTATGAAGCGGGTGAGGGAGAAAAGACCAGGAAGAGTGGAGATGTATATCCTTCTTATCGTAACGAAACAAGACGAGAAAGGGAAAGGATATATATAGATGAATCTTCTGGGGGAACGTAGATCGAAGAAAAAAGGGCTGAATACTGCAGAGTCTCGATACTCCCTGGAGGCCTTCTCGGTAGGGCCTCAATCCGACTTGGGAGGCCGTCCGGAGACAGGGGCGCAAGTATGGAGAGCAAGGTTCAGTGGTAATACTCGTATCGAACTCGTATGGGCTCCGCCCTCTGGGGAGTCACGGAGGAAAGGATGGAGAGAAGAAGGAGAAGAAGGAGGAGGATGATGATGGTGGAACGGATAGGCCGAATTCTGGTGGGCACGCCCGCACCTATGCGTAGAGATAGAATGCTAGCGAAGATTCCCGCCTCGTATTCTCGTATATATATTTCACTGCAGAATGCGTCCTTGCCTGTATTCCAGGGTCTATGGATACTAGAGACGAGATGGTCTAGTCGGTTCGAGTTGAGCGCTGATCCCGCCCCCGGTATTCTCGTAATATAGTGCAGAATGCGTCTTGGCTGCAATCCAAGGGACTATGGATACTAGAGACGAGATGGTCTAGTCGGTCCAGGTTGAGCACCGAGACTATAGGGCTGCCCCGTCTCTGTCTCGGTCCCTTGGGAGGAAGGGGAGTGGGACTCTGGTCTGGTGGTTGGGTGGTTGAGGCTGCTGCCGTCCGGGGGGAGAGGTTGGGTTGTTCGACGTGTCAAGGTCAGTTGAGACGAAGGAAGAGGAGACGAAGGAAGAGGAGGAGGAGGAGGAGGAGGAGGGGGGGGGGGGTTGTTCCGGCCAAGAAGAGGGGAAGATGATTCGTATTTGAAATAAGAGATGATAGTACTATTGTAGTCCATAGACAAATGGAAGTGGATCAGAAGCGTTGTTTTTACTGCTTCTTGCTTCCCTCAAGTTAAATCACAGCTCTCTCTTCCCCATCTTTGTTGTCGACTGAACATGTGCGTAATGATGCAGCTGGATGGTGCAATATCACGACAGTATTGAGCAATTGAGACAACTAAACGGGAACTTGATTACAGATTACGGATTACGGGTACGTACATGTCCGTACATATATGGAGTTAATATATAGCATTTCATAGCAATAATAATATTACATGTAGTGAGGGAAGAGACGTATTATTCCTAACCGTTCCGTACACGGTAAGGCGGACTGCACATCCCCTGGTTCCCCCTTGATGGCTTGATGAGTATTACGGAGTGGTGTGTATTCTGTACATGTGCGCGGAGTAATCTGCAATCTGTATTCCTGTACGGATTGGACTAGGAGTCTAGAGACTAGGACAGAGATACGAGTCCGTCTCTAGAGTCATCAATACTCTCCCTCTTTCCCCGCTGCAGCTAAACTGCCGAGCTTACCAGGTCGCCTCTGGTCAGAGACTCGAGGGACCCAAGAGGTCGAACGCAAAGAAGGTCGGATGGCACGATTGACGCGATACTCGTCAGTCCATCTTGACCGTCCTGTTCCCTGTTGTGCTCTGATCCCCCCCCCCCCCTCTCCCAGTTTCTATCCGTATTGTTGCTGGTATGAGTACATGCGAGCCTGCATCGAGCTACGATGCAAGTATTCTTACTCCGTATTGCATATCGTATAGTACGGACTACATGAACCAACGCAGAGAGAGACACGCATTACGCACGCGACCTTCTCGTCGGTGGCCGCCCTGCGGCCCGATGCGCCAAGGACGACGAGGCTCCTTCTCACAGTCAAGGTGTACGTACCATGCGGCCCCTGGTTTGGACAAGCCCCAGGTTCCGAGCATACGAGTAACAAGTAAACGAGTACATGTCATACTCCGTACTCACAGCAGTGTCCACAATTACGAAGAGCTGCAATTCGTCCAGGGGGAGGCTAAGCCGAGGAGATTCATGCCGGTAGTGGGGAACTCTCTGTTTCCATCTCTTTTTTTTTTCTCCTCTTGAAGATGGCATGAGGACAAAGACCGAATATCATTTCCCCTCCCATCCTAAGACAACTTCGAACCTTGGTCCTCGGGTGATGAACAGGAACCACTCCGAAGGCACATGATTGCTTGCGGTATCAGTTGTCATTGTCAAGTGGTACGCAGTAGACTATGAGCATGCAAACCATGTATTATAACGTGAACTGAAGACAGACAAGAGAAAAAGGCCTCAGAACATGAAACGTGCTATATGGCGTTATCAGGTGCGTACGACTGTCGAGTACGTACGTACGACGTGGTATTATTCACATTATGCAGTCGGTAGATTATCAAATATCACATCACTACCCCGTACAACTCAAAAGGTCTTGATATCGCAATGCTGCTCATGTTGCATTGATGCCAATGGCGTTGCCAAACAGCGTTGCGCTATTGGGTTGGGAATCACGACATGTACAGTATCGCTCCTACATCAGTCGTATATTATATACTAATACCATACCGATGCTCATCACCAGCTCAGCACATGTACAGTCCGTTGTGCTCGGTCTTGTTCTCGACCTTGTTCATGCATATGCAGGTATCCCCGAGAACCGTGATTGGAGAGGACATAGTACGAGTATATCATAATATAAGAAGCTACACGGCGCGCGCGGCAGATCAATCATTCCATCCCGTACACCCAGACTAGCCGGTAATGATGATCTCCAGGCACTTTACCACTATTGGACCCTGGTTCTCATGACATGTTGATCTGTCTACCGGTATCACCTGCAGTCTTGTACAGATCAGTTCACTGGAGACTACGGATAGAGAGTGTACGGGTACATATGCAGATGGAGAGTATAAGTCCTCTCAACTCCTGCCGCCCGGGACTTGGCGGTGTCGACTCGGACGTCTGATCGCATTGCCCACAATCCGGACTGCCTCCCTAGACGGAACGAAAGGCGTCAGAGGAAGGCGCCTGGGTCATCGTCGCTGTCGTCAATGACTCGAGAGCCGTCTTGGCGATCCCCTGAGAGAGATGGCAGCGTGCATTGCTCTCCCTTCTAAACGCCACCTCGGTCCCTCGCATCTTCTGACGAATCTGCTGATGTACCGTCTGATCCTCTGCCGTTCACTCATCCCACCTGCCCCCTCGTAGTCAAAGGGGATCTGGGACGTCTAGACCGACGGGACTCGGCCGATGTCTCGGTCGTCCACGGGATGCATCATCGTCACCCGCTGCCAGTCCGGTGTGGCGAGTTTCCCCTCCTTGTGACGGCGACATCTACCATCATCCGCGCAAATATATTACACGCAGGACCGTCAGTCTCTCCTGGGCGAACAGCTGAGCCGTCTCGAGACATTTGGCGACACAACCGGGCGGCGACATGCTCGAACACAAACCCCCACCCCCCGACCATCGAACTGTCACCATAGAGTTGTACGTGTAAAGGTAGATGAGAACGAGTCTCACCGACTTCCAGCGCAGACTGTCATCGCGTAACCGTGACCTTCACCCGTACTAGGTCTCTGCCTCGTCAGAGTCGGGCCTCGCCGTGTTAGCGGACGGCCGGTCGGTGAGACGGTCGAGCGCCGTATCTGTCCGGGGGCCGTCGTCACGGGAATACCGCTGTAGAGACCACCATATACGGCCTGCAGGCGACACGCGGACACCTGTTTACCGGGAAGAGTGCCTCCTGCGGCAGCATGGGCATGGTGCTGAAATCCGTGGGCAGTCTACGCGGGATGTGGCGGCGCGCCTCGCAGACGGAGGGAGGTGATCTCGGTGCGCAGTGGGAGATTCCCCGACTTTTCGGAAGAGGTGATCAGGCGAGAGTCGGATGACCGAACCAGGTAGAATCGGCTGTCGGCCTCACCATACAGATCACACGGCCGGGTGTGGCTCGGGATGATGCCGGCGCGAATGGCCGTACCGTACTCGCCACTCTCTCGCCGGCTTCTGCTGAGATTGAGAGCGACGTGACGGGCGTCGTACCCTAAGCATCAGTCTGCGTCGCGACAAGATGGCCAATGTCGGATCGCATCCCTTTAGACGGGGAGAGTCCGGTCGACGTGGTCGAGGATGTCGTGGGACGGGTGACTCACTCGGCGTATAGCCTCCTGCTGACCCCACCCAGGCTGCCCGGACGGACGGGTTCCCCGCCCTCGAGGAGCCCTCATGTGGAGTGAGAGTCCGGAAGCTGACGATCCCGCGATCCAAGGAGGGCGAGCTGCTTGTTCACGCAGACGAGTCTACTCTTTGCATGTCTCCCCCTGCCGATGGAGCATTTGCAGCGATTCGCTCTGTAAATCTACATGTTCTTTCCCTTACCTGGGCGCGCCCTTCCTTGGACAGACGGGACCGCGGATGACTATGTCCACTGGCGAATGGCTCTGCCATCCGTTGGCAGGGAGGACGCATCCAGAGGGGTGGATGGAACAGACAGATGGGGCAGACTGACTCACCGGCTTGCGACTTGTAACTTGTACCTCTGACCCTTGTATCATCCCGGCCGGCCATATCACCCTTCTTCATGGTCTCCGACAGTGTACGGGGCATGATCGGTCTGTGCTGCGGCAGGCTATATGATCTTATTCCTACTCATCACCTTGAAATCATGCTGAGCAGGCGGTTGACGACGGCTAGGAACTTGAGCGTCACATTGGTTCCTGATTTGGCAACCATCTATCATCAGCATGCATATCTTGTGTAGAGCAAACCTCCCCCGTCTTACATCGGATAGTCCCACAGCTCGTAGGTGCAACGCACTACTACCGTCGCATATCGGAGATCGAGTCACACGCCGAGAACACCACCATCTTCCATGTCATCTTTCGAGGAATCAAGTCATCGTTGGTGAAGCTTGGGGAGTCACAGCACGTGGCAAACCTCCCCCTCCACCACTACGAGGAACGAGGAGCAATACAGGTAAGCAATACTCATCCATGCCGAGAACCCCGCACCGTCGACGCCATGGACCCCATCCTTCGACACTATCGCGTTCAGCTAGTCAGCGCAGAGGCTTGAGGTGTCAGCATCCACGACGAGTCGGTCGGCCTTGGTCGGGTATCCCGAATGACTTTGATGACGCCCATTGCTGGATCATGACGGGAGTCTCTGCTCAAGGTCTTTATAAAGAGTTGTGCCACTCCTTCCTGGCGTCTTGAGATGCCTGTCTATATTAATACACCCATCCATCCATCCATCCATCGTCAGCTGGTAATTGGCCGTCACAAAGGGCATATCGACAGTATACACCGATAGATCACAGATGCGCATGACTACCACCCTACAAGACATTCAAGTACACATCATGTCGTCTTCCAAGTCATCGGTCGTCTCCGATACCGCCTCCCAGGTTACACTGGCAGACAATGCCTCGACCTACTCCAAGACCGGTAAGTACACGTCTTGTCCCATCCTGTCCCTCAAACGCCAGACTAACACGCCAAAGACACATTGGTAGATGCACCCTCTGATTCCAAGAAGCCCAGCCTCCTCAATCTCCTCCGAGGAAACTCACCACCGAAATCGCCATCGCCTAGCCGACCATCCAAGAGCAGTACAGATCCATACAAGAACTGGGAGGCTCGGTACCAAGCAGCGAACTTGCGGTGATTGGACGGTCTGTCGAATGACGGCCGTTGGTGATTGCCATTGCCAATCGCCCTGTAACATGGGGGGGGGGTGATTGAGGGTCATCAAGAAGTCTGGCTTTGACACAGGCAATGAGGGAAAGGAAACAGGAACATGGAAACCCAGTAACATGATCACTAATCGACATCGAAAAAATCTATCAATATATCGAGGAACATGCGCATCCTTCAATCTGGCATACGTCCTCTTTCTATCCGAGTCATCATAACGTCCGTTGGTATAGTATTAATTCTCCCCTCGCTTATAAAACTCCGGGCAATGCGAATGCGTCACAAAAGCAGCAAAAAAAAAAAAAAAGACTCTTCCTTTCTTCCAAGTTGCCTCCCTCCCCCAGCGTACTCACCGAGTGTGGTGGTGAACGTTCTCCCCCCTGAGCTCGGCGGCGGCGGCGGCGGCGGCGGCGGCGGCAGTCCGATCCTCCTCCAGCTGGGCCTTCTCGTCAGCCGTCAAGCCAGACTTAGCCTTGCCCATACGCACGGTGGAGATGAGCAGAGTGCCGACCCCGGAGAGTGCAACGCCGGTCCAGAAGCCGATGCGATACTGCTTGGTTATGGGCACATTCTCCTCGCCCTGAGACAGGATGGTGCTGCTGACGGCCAGCTCACCGACTCCTAGCCAGAAGGCCATACCCAGGTACAGGAGGGAGTTGATGACGCCCCCGGCGGCGGACTGCAGACGGTGTGGCATGGCCGTGGTGATGTAGACGTTTGTGATGTTGTAGGCCGTGTCGATGCCGATAGTGCCGCAGAGCATGGCGGGGAAGACGTAGGCCCAGTATATGAACGATAGCGAGGGGCTTCCGGTCTCCTCGTCGCGCGAGGGGACCAGGGCGAAGAGGAGGACCGAGATCAGGAACCCCCCCTGCGATATGAGCATCAGGATGCGGTTGGGCAGAATGTGCAGCAGGAAGCCACCGCCGACGGCGATGAACATGCCACCCACCGCCAGAGGGGTGAACCACGCTGCCGTCAGCATGGGACTGATTTTCAGGGCAGATTCGATGCTGGAAATATCTCGTTAGCTGGATAGTCTTTTTTTCCTTTACAATGATGCAAATACATGTATCATTGCATATACATGTATAGATATATATATGTGTGTATGTGTGTGTATATACTTAGTATCAGGGAGTTGCGACTTACTAGAAGCTCGAGTAGAACATGTACAGTCCAAACACACCGTAAGAGCAGAACAGCGCCAGACACAGGCGCGTCATGTACTTTGGGGTAAACAGCTCGGGCGGCAGCAGCGGCTGCTCCGACACCCAACCCTGGACGTATACGGCTGCGGCGAGGAATAGCACGCCGAGGATGAGCGTGACGTAGATGTACGGCGTCTTCCAGCCCTGGGGCGCGTGACCGCCGTCGGTGAAGGCGAAGACGACGAGGGTGAGTCCCGGGACGATGGTGCAGAAGCCCCACCAGTCCATGCGTGCGGCCGGATCGACGTCGCCCATGCTGCGCGGGATAGAGAAGTAGGCGGCGACGAAGACGAGGGCACACATGATGGCGCCGACCCAGAAGTACCACTTCCAGCTGAGGTACTGGGCGGTCGCGGCGCCGATCAGGATGCCCAGGTAGAAGCCGAAGCAGGCAAAGGCGCCGTACAGGCAGAAGACGAAGTTCTTCCTCGGGCCGGGGCGGTATATGCGTCCCAGGAGGGCCAGGCAGGCCGGCATGTAGGCACCCGGACCGAGGCCCTGCAAGGCGCGGCACACGATCAGCATGGTCGGGTTGCGCGAGAAGCCGCTGACGACGGACCAGATGATGAGCCAGACCAGACCGCCCAGGCAGACGGACCGTCCGCCGTGCTGGTCCACCAGTCGGGAGAAGGGCATCAGGAGGCACGCCGTAGTCAGGTTGATGACGGCCGCCGGCCAGGTCCGCAGCGAGTCTGGCATGTGCATGCTCGTGGCCACGGACGGGAGGACAATGTTGAATCCGGACACCTGCTGCTGTTAGCCTGCATGAATCACGCACCTGGCCTTGGTGAAACGTTGAGAAGACTTTGGAAAGAAGAGGGAGAGAAAGAGAGAGAGAGAGAGAGAGAGAGAGAGAGAGAGAGAGAGAGAACGCACAAAGAACTCGCTCATCATCATGGATCCGACTATGGAAAACACAAAGGCCGCCTCGGTGACCCACGTCGGGAGAACGGCCGGGCGTTGACGGCCCAGACGCTCAAAGTCTTTCTCGGCGTCGAGATCCGCGGACCCGGGGGTCGGAACACCGACGCCGACGTTTTCCTCATCTGGTCTCATGCTTTCTATCGGGGAACTGATTCTGTTGATTCTCGATCACCAATGTAAAGTCTGCAGTTGTAGTTGATCCATGCATGAGAAGGTGTGATACGAGAGAGAGAGAGAGAGAGAGAGAAGACCTTTTCTTTTTATTCTATTGTGGTCTGGTTTAGATGGAAATAAAACAGCCTTAACAAGGACGATAGACGGGAATAGCTACAGAAAAAAAGAGAGAGAAGAGGGAAAAAAAGAGGAGATCACCGCAACTTGACTCTTCCCTCCCCCCCCCCCCCCCC